TAGAGGGGCAGAGTTGAACAGCTACTCACAGTGTTGTCCAGGGCTGGGGACTAGTCTGTTATTGACAACCTTCTCCTTCAATCCCACCCCCTCTGATTGTGACCAAAGCTGGGCTCATCTCACTCTGTAAGATCAAGGTTATTCTCAGGACGTCTAATATGCCCTGCGGGCTCATGACTGTGATTTGGTAAAGCTGCCAGCCCTCAGGGGACAACTGAGTTTATGCCCAGACATGTGTCCAGGACCTCTGGGCAATTTGTGGTTTGGTTACTAAGTAAAAATGTCCCAAAGGCAAATCTCAAGTTCAAGAAGCAACAGCCTAAGAAGAATTGGATAATGACAAAAACACCATTAGTCCATTCAGCTGTGAGTTCCATTGATAGAAAGTTAGTTCATTGCTTTTATGTAATTTGGGTACTATTTCTAGCAGATGTACCATGCAGAGTTATGGTTAAGATAAGGATGTGGTTTGTTGTTTTACTAATGCTACAACTTTTAACGTCTCCTCTTCTTGGAATTGCCCAACAATTACTGTTATTTTTTTCACAGATTTCAAGCTCCCACTGTGAGAAGGAGTAAAGTAGAAAACCTTTGCAATAGGACATGTAAGAATATTTGCAGTGTCGCTTAGTCGACTGGTGCCCATGCAGTACCTTTTATGTGCCAGGCACTGTAGTTGGTACTGAAACAGGTACTATCTCCAAAGCAACTACCACATCCACTCCCAGGAGCTACTTCTGACTCACAGAGACCACATAGGGAAGGGCAGAACTACCACGGCGGGTTTCTAAGGCTCTACATCATTACCAGAGCAGAAAGCCTCATTTTTCTCCTGGGGAGCAGTTGGTAGGTTCGAACCACCCACTTGCAGTTAACAACTCAACATGAAACCCACTATGCCATCGGGCTCCTAGTTAGTGTATAAACTCCCATAAGCCTCGGTTGGTTATTAATTGCTTGGCTCATTTTCTTAAGATGCAGAGTGTGCATGTGTATTACTACGTAATGATACACAGTGAGCTCAGACCTGTCCAACAACACCACTTTCCTTTTCAGGAAACTTTAGAAGTAAGGGAGACAGAAGACCCTGGATTTCTGAAACATGTCATCAGCATTTTTTCCTCATCCCTTATCCAGCCCATATTTTGGTACTACCTAATTTAGTTTTGAATTTTAAGCAGGAAGTAATACCCTTAATAATTATGGGTATTATAGCTAATTAGGTGTTGGCCATATAAACTGATTTTCTCTAAAAGTACAGGTCCTCAGAGCCCAGCAGATGTTCCACAAAGACAATACATTTCCACTAATAAGAATCACTACCAAGGCCATTACAATATGGTCTCAATATTGCTACCAAGTCTTGTGGACTTGACTGGCCTATGTACAATTGAAAGGGTTCCTCATGCCATGCCTTCTGCATGCCTTCTAAGAATGAACTCTCACCGTGTTGTCTCTAGGAAATAGCCTCTATAGGCAAGGGCTGATGCATCAGAAGCTTGCTTGCTTGCTTGCTTTCTGCCCAATGGCTGGATATAGCTACTAAGTCACTCAATCAACAAGTAAGTGGCAAGCGTGTGAAGGAAAAATGAACTGGAGATAACAATTTGAACTCCCCATCTTCACTTTTTCACCGATTCTCTAAACTTGGCATCCTTAAAGGCCAGGACTACATTTCTTGCTTTGCAACTTCCGAGGGAGTCCATGATGACCAACTAGGTTAGGGAAGCTTGTTTTTATTGCTCTCTTCTAATAAAAGTTAAGATAAGGTTATCTAAAATGGGAACAGGCTACCTTGGAAGGTGCCACTGCTATTAATGTTCTGTGAAGTTTTTCGCTAGCGTTTTCCTGCTATTTATGACTGGAGCTGCTAAGGACTTGTGAAGGACAAGTGTACAATACGTACATAACCCAAGGCTTTAAGCTGAGTGAGAGGCAGGAATGGATTCGTGTCATTCTCAAGCTGCTAGAAGCTCTAGCACCGGTACTCCTTTCTCCTCCCATGAGCTACTTATCTCCCTCCCTTGTTTCCCCTGGAAAGACATTTTCGTATAGAATAATGAGCCTGTGACTGGTAAGCAAGTATTCAGCGAGTCACTCAAACAAACAAACATACACACACACACAAACACACAAGCAAAGACACGTTTAAGCGATCTGTCACACCCAGAGTGTTACCTTGTGGACTCCTGCTTGTAGATGTCGATGATATTTTCCACCAGCAGATTCCGCTGAAGTCCGTACACCCCATGTCTGTCCAAAACCACCTCGTGTCTGCAGGATGGGCAGCGGAACCGGCCCCCTGACGCCACGGTGCTGCCTCCTCTGGTGGGCAGGTACGGGTTAGAGGCCTGCTCTTGCCAGACAAGAAGTGAGGGGTTGAGTAGAAAGAACCACAGGGAGCTGTTCTGAGACCTTTGTCTCGCCGTCCATCACTACAGACAACTTCGTTTCTACTTTCATCTCAGCCCGAAGATAATTTCTCAGGGCCTTACCAGCCACTGGTTCTAAAATACAAGGCCAACATTTCTTCATAGGAAACTACGTGTACTATATCTATGTTTTTTTCCTAAGATGCTCTTCCATCCAAAGTGTCATAACCGTAGATATCATCCAGAAATTTCAACATTCATGTTTTGGATAGTAATTTGTTTACATTTTTGAACCACATTTGGTAATTTAGTTTTTTTAAAAAAACAAATGGTTCTTAGTATTGAAATAAAACTAGAATCGGGCATATGGAGGAGGCTGAGAGCAAACCACAAAAGCCAATCACTGGAAAACATGAGCTTTTCTTGAAAACAAATGCATCTTTTAAAGCTTCCTAAAGGAATTTTTCTCGATACTAAGCATTTGATTCTGAGAGGAGACGATCTTTACCACTCTCCAGATTTCCGAACAAACCTACCTGGAAGATATCACTGGCGCATTTCCTGCACAGGTTATGCTGACAGGGGAGAATGACCACAGGCTTCGTGAACATCTCTAAGCAGATGGGGCAGATGAGTTGCTTCTCCAAGTTATCCATGGTCTGCTGCTCTTTGGAAAAAGACTTGTAGTTCAGAGACGCGCTCATCTCCTGGCCGTTGGGGTGTGCTGCAGGGAAAGGGCGATCCAGATGAGTTTCTGCAAGGGTTTCCTGGAAACAACTCCAAGGATTGTGTGATCAGGTATCCTCAGCGTTTCGTTCCGAGGCAGACATTGTTTCAGGTCCCAGTTCAGAGTGGGTGCCTGAGCTGTTTTTAGCTGCCAGGGGTCACGTGGTGGTGGCTGTCTTGTCCATATAAGCCAGTGACAGGGAGATAGATTCTGACAGGTGACAGAGAGCGGGAGTCAACATTCCTGCCCCAGGAGAAAAGAGAGTGGGTGGGAAGGGGGATTACAAACCCCTTTTAGACAGGGGTTATAAGGAGGAGGAGGTCGAAGCTGACAGTTGTCAACAACAAATGCAAATGTGCATGCCTGGTAACTGAGCCACAGCCTGGGTGAGCACTCAATAAGAACTTGTTGATGGGTTTCTCCAGGAAGGGCCGAAGGCAGCCCAAGAGGCTGACAGTACCGTGACTGCCATTTCTGTAGTGTGAGTTTAGGAAGAGGGTCAGCCAAAGTTACACAATAATACTTCCTTTGGAGAAAACAAAGCTTGGATTACAAATCATTATCGTGGTTTTACAAGTCTGAGAAAAAAACAAAAAATGAAAAACAAAACAATCTTGTCTACAGTTAAATATTTCATTATTGCTAGGATTGTGGTGGGGGGGGGGCGGAGGAAACAACAGCAACTAATTTGAGAGCTGATTTCAAATTCCTACGCTATAAAGCTGTACCAAGGGGTATTGGATCCCATACCAATGGATAGTCCAACAATTACTTTTTTTAAGTTGTAAAATAAAACTCTAGTATATCTTGTCATTTCCACATAGCTCTCCCCTCTTCTCTAACCTTCCACTACCTGTGCCCCTCATCATCTGCCCTAGACATAAAAAGAAACACATAGACAATCTGACAGTCTTTAGACTGTGTACTTTACAGCAATGAACGAGTAACTGGAACATGAAGCAGACTCATTCTTTCATTCTGTCATACAGCATAAAACTGTTATCAAGGTCATTACTAATGAAAGGGAAATCTTGTTTCAATCCCTCGGTTTCATCTGCTGGTGAAACATGAGTATGTTTCTTTGAATTTGTCTCTTCTTTCATGTGTATTTTAAAAAATAATAATTCCTCTGGTTACCTCTTCTATTTCATGTGCCATTGGATCATAAAAATCAAATTTAGGATTTGTCACAATATGGTGTAACTTATATTTTATTTAAAAATTTTAAATCAGACATAAAATAAAAAGACAGCCATAAATACAATTTGTTAACATCTCTCTGGTATGCACTTAATTACCATGAAGGGTAGTTCAATGTAACCAGTTATGTGTGGGCTTTATGCTGTGTGATAGTTTACTGAGTATCTAATAAGCAGCATTAACTGATAAGTTATACGATATCATGGATATTTCAGAAACTTTAGAATATTCTGTTGTTCCTTTCAAATTCTATTTAGCAACTATAGTGAAGAAGGAAACAGGAAATTCCTATTCTTGTTTTAAAACTGAGTTAATTCAGTTCATCTAGCCTAGGCATTTGATTGTGTTTATCATTACGTGGACTATGGAGGTCTAAGTACAATGATATTTTCTAGAAAAAAGAAAGTTTTTAGTGTAAAAAGGGTTTACAATCTGAAGAAAAACCCCAAACTAAAAACATGCAATGTAGAACGGTCTTATAATAGGAGTTCATTCTTTTAAATAATAGGTCTTATAATAGGAGTTAAATAATAGGTCTTATAATAGGTCTTATAATAGGAGTTCATTCTTTTAAATAATATTCATTGAGCATATATTATGTGCTAAACTCTAGATGTTAAAAGATGAACACAACTCAGGCTACAGTCCTCAAAGAGCTCAGTCTAATACAGTAGAGATAAGACATAGATTTATAGAACCATCACACAACGCAAAATGTGATAAAGAGCTACAGAATTCCAGAGTTGGCAGAATCAAGAGGGCTGGGGTGGCATTTGAATTGATCCACCGAGAAACTTTGATCAATGAACAAACAGTTATGTGGAGCTTAGCTAAAGTTTTCCAAGAGAAGGCACAGAAGCTAAGACTTCTGTGGAGTCTGAGGAATTTGGGGAATTCCAAACATATGTTGGTTTGGGCTGGAGTTCAGGGGCTGCTGTTGCTGTCTTGGCAGACCATGAATGCTAGGCTAAAGAGTTTTTAACACTTAATAAATTAGGCAACAGACCACCATTAAAATCACTGGGATTTTTCTAGCAGTGGTGGTTGGGAGAAATTAGAGAGGGTGGACTTGGCGAAAGACCAGATGGGAAACAGTTGTCAACACTCCAGATGAGAGGTCATGAAGCTCTGGCCTAGCACCGTGGCCCTGGGAAAGGACAGGAGGAAAGAGATCCCGAGACTGCTATAAAAGTGGAATCTGCAGCGATGACTCAGATGCCTTGAGTCTGAGCAACAGTAGATGACGCAGTGACCAGACTACACAGTGAGTCAGGAGACAGGCCTCCAACCTGATCCTATCCCCACCTTCTTTGTGATCTTGAGAAAATGACTTCACCTGCAAGTGAGTGGGTTTAAAACTAGAAATATACTTGCAGGGGGGCAAAACAACTCTGTAAAAGTATTGATTTTGACCATGAGAACCCACAATTCAAATATTTGATGGACAGTTCATAACTACCCTCTCCTCTCTTGTGCTATCTGTTCATTCTTATTCGCTGCCTTTCACTTATTCTTAAAACTGTCCCTGTAATCAAGAAACCAAGAAGAATGGCCAGATGAAAATCCCGTAAGGAATAAGAGCCGAGTTTATCGATAATACCCACCTTCCTACCCTTCCTCATCTTTTCTCCCCACTCTCAGAGACCAGAAATCTATAGCGTAGATTGGGTTAGTATGTGTTAGGATTGGGGCATGGAAGTAGCACTCTGCTCTAGAGAGAGATGAAAAAAGAAATGGTCCACCCAAATCCTTCACAGGGTCTGAAGTTCAATCAGAATTCAGAGTTTAATGAACCCTTCAAAGTCCCAGGATTTTGGAGTGGACGTAAGAACAGCTGAGTCTCCTGAAGGTATCCTGCGTAAGAGTGGTACATAACTCTCACCCTTCTCCAACTATCCCACCAGCATACACCCTCACACAGGAGAGGTGGACCCAATCAGGAATGATCCCACAGGGCACTACCTTAGTTGGGAACCCCAATCATCCTCATTCCTAAGGCCCACTGACTAGGGCAGGAATATGTGTAGACACATGGAAAACTAAAGCAAAATTACTACTCCTGCTCTCACTTCCTCCAGCAGTTGACCAATCTCCCAGATAAATCAGAGAACAAAATATGAGTCCATAAAAACCTGCGTCTGGATCCAACGGTAGGCATGGCCTTAACGGGCAACAGAAATGAAAGTGCATCTGACCTCTTTCGACCTCTAGCTGCTAGACCAAATAGAGCCAGGCTGGAGAGGCCAGAGCATAGGTGAGAAACACACAACTCAAGGTGTTCATCTCAGAAGAGAGAAACAAGAATTCGAAAATAAAAACATGACTACCACAACTAAAATAAATGTGGACTGGGTACCAGTGACTTCTGGATTCCACTGCTGCTGAGCCCATTCTGACCCAAACCGACACTGTGGGCAGAGGACTGTTCCACAGGATTACTGAGACGGTCACCTCGACAGGAGCAGCCTGCCACATCCTTCTCTCATGGAGTGGGACTGTGGGTTCAAACCGCAAACCTTGTGGTAAGCAGCCCAGTGCCTAACTCACTGCACCACCAGGGTTCCTTTTTATAAGAGCTCCTTGAGTTTTTATCACCAGTGACCCATCAAAGTTAAGTCATATGGGTAATGAGTTGTGAGGCAAATTCAGAGACACATCTTTTGACTACAGAGCCCATGGCCTCACCCCTACAGACAGAGTGGAAATAATTGAAATAGAGGAGTGGAGATAATGAAATCGAGAAATATAATAGACTCAATGAAACGACAAGCTTGCTCTTTGGAAAGATCAATAAGATTGACATACCTTAATCTAGATTGCCAAAGGAAAAAGGAGAGAAGACACACTGAAATGAGAAATAAAAATGAGACATTGCTACCAACCTTACAGCAATCAGAAGGACTTTAAGAGAATAATGTGAACAATTATACATCGATAAATTATACCACTTAGGTGAAAATGAAACATTTTTAGAAACACAAATTACCTAAACTGACTCAAGAAAAGAAAGAAAATCCCAACAGATTTATGACAGATAAAGAGATTGAATCCATAATAAAAAAAAATTCCCAACCACATAAAGTCTACACAATATAGCATTAATGGGGAATTTCATTAAACACTTGAGGAAAAATTAACACCAATTTTTCTAAAACGCATCCTCCCTGTCCTTAAAGATCTTCTCCTCTGAGAAGGAAGACAGTGTAGCAGGTTAAGTGGTTTTTAAAAAATAATTAGCTTCCTTTTTAAAGAAATTACCTTTGTTTCACTAGAGTAAACTCACATGTGGAGAAGTCAGGTGACTGATGGAGGGGGTGTCAATGCGGATGGGTGGGGGTGTTGATGGGGATAGATGAGTGGAGTGGAGTAAATACCATCAAGACCTTTCTTCATTTCCACCTGGGAGGAAGAGCCATACATTGTGTTTATAAAGTCTGATTCCCTTCTACACCCTATCCCAGATGGGAAGTAAACAGTCTTTTGGTAGACAAGGAGGGAGATGGTATTCAGATTGGATTTAGGGAAGGAGCCTTAGGTAGGAAAGATAGGGTACCATGTACATTTATATGGTATCTAAGGGACCTGGGATAGCCAAAAAATCTTGAACAGGATGAATGAATTTGGAGGATTTACATTTCCTGATTTTAAAACTTTCTACAAAACTACAGCTATTCAAAACAGTGTGGTATTGGTAACAATGATACACATAAAGACAAATGTCACAGAATTGAAAGTCAAATTGGAAAAAAAATCAAGCATACATCGATGGTCTATTGATTTTTGACAAGAATAACAAACCCATTCAAGTGAGAAGGTATCTTCAATAAATGGTGCTATGAGAATTGGGTTTCTACATGTAAAAGAATGAAGTTGGACCTCTACTTCACATCGTATACAGAAAAGTAACTCAAAACGATTAATG